CAGAGCAGAACCTGCAGCAGAGAGAATAAAAACATATATTACATAAATCAAGTTGCATACAATGCAGAAATATTATTGTTAACCCAAACCAAACATGTCCATGTTGGCAGTGTGTGTTAGTTACTGAATGAATGTGTGATTGACAGATGAACCCTGAGGACCATCAGACTCTCATCAGCAGTCTGACTGATACTTTTATTTATACTATATTCACTTCTCATTCAGCTAGTTCTCTATTTTCACTGCTGTAGATTAATCACAGTCAGTCGTATGGTATTTAGTAAAAGAAACTTGTTGAGTAGTTCAGCACATGGTGAATAATTGCACTCTGCTAAAGTATCTGTTAGCAGCCTGCACCTCATAAAGCAACGTTTAATAACAGGAAGCTTTCATATACATGTAATGATTCTATTGTTCTGATCTTCTGGTCCTGTGTTTGTCTCTGCAACGCTTCAGGTTCCTTGCCTTGAACACTAGGGGCTCTCTCTGTATACTTTACAGAATTACAATCACAGAACAAAGCTGTGTGGAAACAAAGGGTTAAGGTTGGGTTTATAAAGAGAGTTTAATATTAAATCTTTGAGCCCATGCACCAGGAGCTACTATATACTTAAGTCTAATTGAACCCCTCAGAAAGGCTTTTGAAGGTCTGCACCAGCCGGCCTGAAATGTCCTCACACTCAACAAACTCAGACACACACCTTTACATCAGATGTAACGCTAACACTTTTCGTCTGACCTCAGTGGCTCCTCTGAAGGATCTATAACGGAGCCGTTTGTCTGGCTCTCTTTCCTTCAGAGCAGAACCTGCGGCAGAGAAAATAAAAACATATAATATATATTACATAAAGTCAACTTTAATACAATGCAGAAATATTATTTATAACCCAAACCAAATCTGTCCATGTTGGCAGTGTGTGTTAGTTACTGACTGAATGTTCTTCAGCAGGAATGTGTGATTGACAGATGAACCCTGAGGACCATCAGACTCTCATCAGCAGTCTGACTGATACTTTTATTTATACTATATTCACTTCTCATTCAGCTAGTTCTCTATTTTCACTGCTGTAAATTAATCACACATTGTTTATTGTTTATACGTTTATTGTGGTTTGTGGTGTCTGATGACGATGATCTACTTTAGTCTATTAGAACATAATGAAGCCCATCTAAGAAGATAAAGAGTCAAGTCTCTGGACATATCTGATTAACACAGAATAAAAAATAAAATGATATATTCAATAGAATGATATAAACCTACCTTTGTATTTCCCTGGGCTTCCCTACAAGCAATACCTTCTGAACTGCAATAAGAATTAAAGCTCCCGAAACAAATGAAACTATGCCAGCAATAACCATGGCCCCTGCTGTCTGAGTCCTCACTTGCTCTCTGAAAAACATCACACAAAATATATAAATGTTACTCTACATGTTCAGGACACTGACAGAACAACATCACTCAAGGCATCTACTTCTTCTACAGCTAAATTACACATCAACATTTGAAATGACTTCATATATAAACTCATCTCACCGTTGATGAACACAAAGGTCTGAGCAGAGACCCGATGCTTGATGTCCTCCTGAGAGACCACACAGAGGTAGAGGTCTGTCCTGGTCACATTAACGCTGAGAGAGATGAAGACGTGGTCTTCCTCTGGGACTCGTTTCTCCTCAGCTTCCAGTCTGTTTCCATCTCTGCTCTGCCACTCTGCTTTAGTGTTTAGAGAAGCACCAGGAACCTCACACTGCAGAAGAGCCCGGTCTGTGGTGGCAGTGAGAATAGTGACGGACGGCTTTGGAGCTGCAGCTGTGAACAGGTAGAACATAAACACTTATACAAAAACAGATCAATTGTAATAACAGGAACTATTCTCCCAAAGGGGATAGACAGTCTTGCAGTCAGGTCACACAGAGTTTAGGAGCCATTTACGTTAATTGTTCTCGTCATTTGATTTAGTTTATATTTATCAAGCAATATCATTTTGAAGACTTGGTGGCAGGCCTTAGCTGCACAGGGTGTATACACATGTTCATAGGTGACCAGAAGATCTCTGGTATTGTAAAACAGATTTAATAAACATCCAACGTTCAGAAAACCATCTGTTTGTCTGCGAGTAAGATCTCTCTCACCACTCACCTGTGCACTAATGGAATTTACAAAGCAGACATAAATTAGATGACGGTGTAAATTAGCGTCCCCTTCAGTTAAAACGTGCTCTATAAGTAAATCTAGAGAATAGGAATCATAATTATGATTTTTTTATTCTTAATCTAAATATTTAAATGACTGAGGTCTCATGACTCGCAGCACACAGCTCAGAGATGTCATGGCTCACCTGAGATGTCTCCTGATGGGTCTTTAAAGTAGAGTTTCCAAAGACTACATTTCTTTTAAATTTCATGTAAAATATTCCTTGCTTCCTAATAGTGTTTTATGTTCTAAAATGGAGCAGGGAAAACATGAGCAGGGACACAAGTTCACACACACAGGCCACAAAAGTGGGGCTGTGTTTCCATTAGTATCAAGAGAGGCAGCATAATTAATTGGACGTTTATAGCGTCACGATGTGTCTTTCCACAATAAAACGAACCTGACGAAGCCGACGAGGTTTACGCTTAGTATTCAATTCTATGGGGCCGTTCAAATGTATTTTGTCGCCACAAAGACAAGACGCACGTTGGTCCAACCAAAGTACTCACCAACAACAAGCTCAAAGTAGAATCTCTGAGGAGGCTGCAGATTTGGAAAAGAACAGGTGTAGTTTCCGCTGTCGGCTGCTGTCGTCTTTCTGATGGCGATGGAGGCGTTGCCGTGTCTCAGTTCGTCTTGAAAATGTGAGACTCGTCCTTTGAAGTGCTCACTCTGACCTGGAACAACGTTGTTGTAATGGTCGCCGGCATCATACTTGAAAACCTTGTGCAGAGTTTCTCCTCCAGGACCGACTTTCCTCCATTCAAAGTAACCTCTTTCAGCGTTCCTGCCGATGGATACAGGTAATACAGCATCTCCACCTACTGGTACAACCACTCTGACAGCACCTGGAAGATAAAGCACATGTAAGTAGAAACCAATATCTGTTGACTCTGAGGTTCTGTGGGAAGGCTAATGGATAACAACAGCAACGGGAAAATAAATGGACTGATTTGATATGTGCAACAATGCTGTAAACAGAGCAACACCTGAGCAGCTGAAGTAAAGACATCAGAGGTATCATTACTGCAGCAATGCATTGGAAGTCTAAGAGAACACAGTTAACAAATGCATTACATGACATTAAAAAGGGGAAAAAGTAGTTCGTAGATTACTAAAAACATCTCATATTGCCTGGGTTAAAATAAAAAACATTAAAAATAACTTCTAATATTGACTTAAAAAATGATATATGCATCGACAGAGGTGGGAATATTATGCTACTTTATGTACTTCTACTCCTCTACAGTTCAGAGGTACATGGTGTACTTTTCCTCCACTACATGTATTTAATACCTTTAGTTACTTCTCAGATGTGGATGAATGATGTGAAATATAATCAAGTGTTAAATCAGACTTTAGTTCCACCTGGAGTAAATCCACCAGCTACCCTGCAGTATACAAAGTCATTCAAACTAGCTGCACCTTTACCAGCTTTGAGAACACTTTCATGATCAATCATTATAAAACATATCATATCTATTATTCTGAAATGGACCAATCTGCACAATGACTACTTTTACTGTTGCTACTTTCACTATATTTTGATGAGAATACTTTTCTACTTTTACTTGAGGAACATTTTGAATGCAGGACTTTTACTGAAACAGAGTATTCCTACACTCTGGGACTTCTACTTTTACTCAAGTACAAGATCTGAGTACTTCTACTTTTACAAGTCAAGATCTGAGTACTTCTACTTTTACTAAAGTACAAGATCTGAGTACTTCTACTTTTAATCAAGTACAAGATCTGAGTACTTCTACTTTTACTCAAGAACAAGATCNAAACAAACTACTTTAGTCTATTAGAACATAATGAAGCACATCTAAGAAGATAAAGAGTCAAGTCTCTGGACTTATTTTTTATTCTGTGTTAATCAGATATGTCCAGAGACTTGACTCTTTATCTTCTTAGATGTGCTTCATTATGTTCTAATAGACTAAAGTAGTTTGTTTCCACACAGCTTTGTTCTGTGATTGTAATTCTGTAAAGTATACAGAGAGAGCCCCTAGTGTTCAAGGCAAGGAACCTGAAGCGTTGCAGAGACAAACACAGGACCAGAAGATCAGAAAAATAATATGCGAGCGTGCGTGAGAGATTTAACAAGATTCAGGTTGCAGATTTTGTCTTTTATTTATTTATATATATCAGCAGATTACAGCTTTTGAAATAAATCAATAGCATATTTCTCTTCCAATAAAATGTGTTCATAGAGGATTACCTCTGAACGAGCTGATGACGAGGAATTGAATCCCTCTCAGATCTGAGCTAGGTGTGAAGGCAGCAGAGAAACCCTGAGAGAGAGAGAGAGTTACCGTCAGAGGTAGAACACGGGAAAGGTCTCACCAACATGACGCAAAAACTAATGATGTTTTGTGCAAATTATTGGACATAATGTTAAATGTTGTACAATTATGTGCGCCCTTGCTCATTGTGTCCTGCAGAGGGCAATGTTGTCTGCAGTGCGTCCAGGACGTGACGTCACTGACTATACCTTGCACTACATGTGGAAAATAATGCAATTAACTACCTTATCCGTTCAGATGTTGTTTGGATCGAGAGCTGAGCGGCAGCACAACCGCATCTCTCCTACCACGATAAATAAATATGCCTAATGAAGGCTAAAGGAAGCTGTCTACTACTGAGTTCTATTAAATCTCCACCGCAACGCACTTCGCATAACATCAATCTGAGCCTTGTGTGAAAAGGACTTTAATATTGATCAGAAATATGTCTATAATTAAGCGTAAATATTTTAACTTAACTTTTGTTTTGAGACTTGCAAGGGTTTGACGGAAAAACACTTGCTAAAGTAAAGACGTGCCTTTTTATGGAATTTTTTCCGATGATACTCAGGTAACGTTAGTTGACGTGTTTTAAAAAAGACATGCATCACTTTCTATGATAAAGCAGAGACTGAATCAGTCAGAAATGATCCTGATGAAGTTTAATGAACAGACTGTTACTGGGTTCGTGTAAAAACAGATATCTTCCGCTTTGAATATCACAAGGACGTGTCTGATGTTTTGCGAACAATTCCCAAGTGTATCTGTCTTTTGAAAATGAACTCTTTTGCAAATGATCTTGTTTTGTAATTCTGAATTTGGTAATTGACTTACTGCCTTGTGAATGTGTTGAATCTACTTAAACATTATTTCACTGTACATACATTAATTTACATTACATTTATATCGCTCTCCAGCCTCGCCCTGTGTGTATTATTGAGGTTTAGTTTTAAAAGTTTCAGCTGGAACCCTTTGCCTTTTAATATTCTCACTTTGTCAAACACTGTGTAAAGTTTGAACTGGAAGTTTTTTAAATATAAACACGATGACCACATTATCTGCCCTAAAGAAAACATAAACACTGTTCTTGTTGGTGCTGTTTATATTCTGTCTGATGCACATTTCAGAAAAAGCACTACTGCCTTTGTAACGAGAACTGTATAGTCTACCTGCCAGCAGTGTGAACCCGGACCTTTTGAAAACATAGAAACTGCTGGATGCTAACTTGCATATGATGGGTAATTTGCACAATTAGCCTACATTGCATTATTTAAAATGAATGGCATTATAGCTTATTGTATGTGGACAATATTTAAAACATTTTTCACAGTTTAGGAGTTGGGGGTATTGAAGATACTCAGTCCATTTCTCTTATTTTAAGGATAAAAAATGGCAGTTTATTCCAGAAAGTGGCCATATCTGTTCTCTCTGTGCGGATTTTGACTACCATGAGAAGTGTTGCGACCATTGGATATAGAGAGCACAAAATGGAAATGATTATCTCTACTGTGGACAATTACTTTTCTAATAAAAAAAGCAATCTGTCCAATCCAAATTAGTCCCCTAAAACTTCAAAATAGACCAAGAAGAGTGTCATGGCAATTTTAACTGTTCCAATGTTCTCTATCCTTTGCCATTAATTCACAGGAGGGTTTAGTGATCCAGACGCAGACACAAACAGATATTCTTTTGCTGCAGTTTAGAATTACGTTTTATTGCTTTAGATACCAAGGTTTAGTTATACTTTGTCAAAGGGTTGTGGTAGAAGCATCTGCCAGGCTGGTGGAATCGGTATGCTCCTCCTCCTGTGTCCTCGTCCTTTCCTGTGACCCTTTTTATGCACCCGACCCGGCGCAGCTAAACCCCGCCACCAAGTGTTCAAAAATAATATTGCACTATACATATAAATAAGGTAAACTGAGACACCAACAACACCCATAAAATGGCTCCTACACGTTGGCCCCTAATTGGCTTTAGTATGAAACAAAAAAAACAATTACCAATAAATAATAAAGGAGCTATGAAAAATAAAAATGGTGTGTTCTCTGTGGTATGTCATCCTTAAATAATGTTCAGTTTATTCTCTTCTCCCTTATTTTAAGGGAAACCAGTCTTTGTGGTAGGCTACTTAGCTTCCTGGAGCAGACATATCTTTGTTTTTGGTTATTCTGAGGTTTCTTCAGGTCACCAGTCCACTCCTTGAATGTTTTCATATTTTTTGCATGTCTGGGGTCTCAAACCCGACCTCAAACTGCTCCCGCTCTCGCTCCATGGTCTGTTTGACGACAGCTTCCCTGATGCCATGGAGACGACCCTGTCGACCTCTGATGCCGTTCACCAGCTCAATCTGCTCAAGTTCAAGTTCAAACCTATCAACAATGTCACAGGCATCCTTTTTGCTGAACGCCGTCTTTTCTGGATCCAAATGTTCCTGAAACCACAACAGCTTCTCACCGATGCAGCTCCGACGTGTTGCTTTGCTTGCGGCATGCACACAATGTTGAAGTGAAATGCATCAATCTGATGCACTTTGAGCACAACATCAATTTATGGATACAGGCTTATTTGTAAAGCGGGGGGACACAAACGGGATTTCAAAAAGTGTCACTGTTAAACTCCTTATGAAGTGGTGAGGTGACGCTCCACATTGCTTTTCTTCCCGACTGCCGCAACACACGTGTGTGTGTGTGTGTGTGTGTGTGTGTGTGTGTGTGTGTGTGTGTGTGTGTGTGTGAGAGTGTGAGAGAGAGAGAGAGAGAGAGAGAGAGAGAGAGAGAGAGAGAGAGTGTTTCACATGTGTGTATGAGAGATTTTTACATATGTCTGTAAATGATTTTGGTTTCAGTTGTGTTGAGTCTCCGGCTTTAACAGTCCACTACCGCCTGCGATGACCCAGGTTCGATTCCGGCCTGAGGTCCAAAAAATGTAATACAAAAATAATCTCCCGTTCATCGCGTCCATTCGCGACCCACCTATCACATCTCTGCGCCCCACACTTTGAGAAACGCTGGTGTTACGTCCCAACTAGGGGAAGAGGAATGCAACACACACCAGTATGTAATTGGTAATAATTATAAGCGTTTATTTAAAATAGCTGGGTAAACAAAATGGCAGGCATGCAGCCTGGAACAAACAAAAGGGCCAAAAGGGCACATGTTGACAAATAATCAAACAAACTTAGTGGACTAACCTGCCGCTTGGTCGCTCAACTAGTAGGTCCTTTACTTCGGTCGAACCGACGCAAGCCTGCAGTGTACAGGCACTAATTTCGTCAACGACGAAGCCCTGCAGTGTACAGTGCACTAAACTTCGTTCGAAGCTTCGTGACGGAGATACCTTATCCTTTAAGGTCCCACTTCGAGGCAAGCTTCGAAGCACAGTTTTGACGGTAGTGATCACTAGATCTCAATCGAATCCTCACATCTCATCGAATCAAAACTCACCAAATCTCGATCGAACCCCTAAGATCACCTGCCAACGGAAATCAAATCAAACACAAAAACATATTCTAAGAAACACAAATCAACATGGGTGAAAATTTCGACTCCAAACAAGCGAAGAAAATAATCATATACACATAAATAAAAAGGGACATACAGAAATCTGAAGGAAAGAAATCTC